CTTCACGTCTAAGATCGGTGCTCTACAATTGGATTTCTTTTGTACCTCTGACGCTGTGAAAATGAAAATCCTCTCCAGCCTCGAACTTTTGCATATATTAGCTATTTTTTCCTTCTAGCGGAATGCAATTTGATGGTACGAGCTTGGCCTAGTGGGTAGATACTCGCTAACGGGTACTGTATCCAAATGCGGAATCCGGCACTAAAGTGGCTAGGCTTGGTAAAGCGGCATAAGAAAAATTTTGAGATAATTTCGCAATTACCTTTCTTAAATGACTCCATTTTTTTTACATTTTTAATAGACTTGACGAACAGAATTTAGGATTTTTAGACAACATTAAGAGGTTTTTCAGAGGCTATTCAAGGATACTTTAGACTCCTCTGCGATTTTTCACATTTTGTGCAGATTAGTCAGGACTTTTATTGATTCATGGCAGATTATTGCGCTACTCAAAGGTTAACTTTACAGGTTTTTCAGAGACAAATCATCCTAAATTATTCTCGAGATTCTTCCAGATCGTTTTAACCTTTTAGAGATAATATGAAAGACTTAGAAATTTAGAGCAAACAATGTGAAGGAAATACTAGGAAATTTATTATATTATAATCTTTGAGTTCTTTTTAGGGATTATATTATAGTGGTGAGTGGTCTCTTAATCTTTAGAAAGAATGCACCTTGGCTTACTAATGAGTGTGGTCTAGTGGATTAGAAGCCCGGCAACAAGTAAAAGGGGCCGCAGTTTCGAATCCGGGTTCTGACAGCAGCGTCGGTCTCTGCTTGTAGATATTTAGGTACACCATAAACTTGTAGCAGATGGTATAGAAAATACCATAGAATCGCTAAAGAATCTACAGAAAATCCCCATGAAACATCTTCCAGACATCTCAACAATTTTTAAAGGACTTTTAAGGATCACGGACGGATATCTGAACAGTCTCTGAAATTTCTGTAAAAAGTAGTAGTATTAGTGACGAATTTAAGTCATTGGGGATAAATGGTGAACAAACTTCTCTCGTTTTATATCGATTGGAACTGTTTGAAATTATGGATTCTACAGGCCACATTCTATAAGAAAATTTTTTTTCCGGGGCGATCTAAGACAATTTTTTTTCGGGGCTCTAAAAAAAAGCAGTGCATAACCTTCTTTTTTTACCAAAAATCGACTGCACCAAAATTTCTCGGGAAAACATCTTTTCTTATTAATTTTGGTGCGTAGAATCCAAAACAATTCGTACTTTTTCGATCAGACTTCTCAATCAAAAGTTATAGACTAGAAACCAATTCGAAAGAAAATTCAAAGGGCTGTAACTTTTGAACTAGTAGCCCAATCTTGGAACTGTTTGAAATTATGGATTCTACAGGCCACATTCTATAAGAAAAATTTTTTTCCGGGTCGATATGAAATTTTTTTTCGGGGCTCTAAAAAAGGCAGTGTATAACCTTCCTTTTTTACCAAAAATCGACTACACCAAAATTTCCCGGGAAAACACTTTTTCTTATTAATTTTGGTGCGTAGAATCCAAAACAATTCGTACTTTTTCGATCAGACTTCTCAATCAAAAGTTATAGACTAGAAAACCAATTTCGAAAGAAAATTCAAAGGGCTGTAACTTTTGAAATAGTAGCCCAATCTTGGAACTGTTTGAAATTATGGATTCTACAGGCCACATTCTATAAGAAATTTTTTTTTCCGGGTCGATCAGAATTTTTTTTCGGGGCTCTAAAAAAGGCAGTGTATAACCTTCCTTTTTTAGCAAAAATCGACTGCACCAAAATTTCTCGGGAAAACTCTTTTTCTTATTAATTTTGGTGCGTAGAATCCAAAACAATCACTTTTTCGATCAGACTTCTCAATCAAAGTTATAGACTAGAAACCAATTTCGAAAGAAAATTCAAAGGGCTGTAACTTTTGAACTAGTAGCCCAATCTTGGAACTGTTTGAAATTATGGGCTACATTCTATAATCGATCTGGGACAATTTTTTTTTTCGGGCCTCAAAAAAAGGCAGTGTATAATTGTGTGAGTTTATTCGAGACAGTTTGTAACGGTAGCTCTTAATTTGGAGTTATTTTTCGAATTTGCTATGAAGTAGTAATTTCTGAGATTATTTAGGAGTACGGATTGTTGCAGGTTTGTTATCAGAAGCTAAGAAGTGAGCAGGGTAATTGAAGTATAAGTATTTGAATTCTATATAGTGTTGTTCTTATAATGTGTTTCGGAAATCTGACGACAGAATGTCGGGGTAACAAGAGCTAAAGTACCAAACTGCAGCTTACTTGGATTAGGTCATTTCTGTATTGTGGGAAATGCAACGTGACATAGGTTGGATGTTGAGGTATCACCTTACATTTCATCCAATACTTAGGACAGGAAGGAAAGAAACCATCCAGTGATTCAATATGGCCGATTTCGTTAATAAGAAACCATTTTGTAAGCGTTAATTAGTTAAAGAGAATAGGTAGGGATCACTGGAGGGCGAGTGTTAATTCATTCGGTTTTGGGTTACAAGAGCAAGTGTGTGTTGTCCGAAAGAAAGTTCTCCGAGAGATTGCTTTCTGAGCCACGGGGGCTCGCAATAGAAAAAAAGAATTCGGTTCTGGATTACTCGCATAGCCCCTGTATGGTTCAGATTAATAGTTTTTGCATTACGGTTCGAGCATCGAATGATCTCTTTGCCGGGGTGAAAATTGCAGTCCCTCGGGCATCAGAAAAGTTGCGATTGCGGGTGTTTGTCTTAAAACGGAAATTTAAAACGCGAGTTCCGTGTGTTACAGACCCAGAAGTGAATTAAATCTGACGCGTCAATATTTATTTATTATATTTAACAATAAAATCAATCAAAAGCTCTACTATCCGGAAATTAAAGTACTCGAACCCCCAAAAGGGCCACACACTTCAGTATTTTCTCGCCAGTAATGCGTCATTTTCCTGACTTATGTAAATATTTCATCCCTGCGTGTACAACTTTTTTACAAAAAAATTACCAACTGCTTCTTAAACAAAACAAATAGGACTGACTGCCCCTAATGTAGTGCAAACAGATAGACAAATCGACTCCGTTACAATTACAAATTTTTGAATAACTCTCGAATCACGACAGAATGCGCCAAACGTGCTCATCTCTGGATTATCAAACGCGAAACACTTCGGAACACCTTTTCTCTTAACAGTGATAAATCACGTGCCTATTGCGCATTTACAGAACAATTCTAAAAAGAAAAACAAGACTGAGATACAAATTCCGTAAATAGTCTACTTAATAAATTGAAGAATTGTCATACACAGGGTGTCCCGTCATTATTTTTTGTGTTTAGACCGAAATAACGTCTACAAGACATTGGTTGCACAACAATATCGTCCAGAAATGTCGTCATAAACTATAATTGATTGAAGTTTAAAAAATTATGCTGAAAAAAATTGGATTATATGTTCTTAAAGATGGGCAAATTAGACTCGTTTGTATTCCATGTATTTTCGAATAGTGGTGAACTCATTAAACCTGAAAAGGGAAGTGAAAATTTCATTATTTGATTTTTTATTAATATATCCAAAAGTTCACGGCTGCTTAATCTTTCCAGTAAACAATTCAGATTTTGAAGTCAATGTTCAGAAAAATAGAGATGGAGAAATTTGTCTTAATTTCGTTACATAATGGTAATATGTATTTGACACAGCAAAAAGTAGCACAAACAAATAGATATTTAGGTAACAAGTAAAGCTTCGCATGCGGGAAAATGAGCACAAAATTATGACATACAATTGTGCAACAACAAGATGGAGTCACATTGCATACAATGTTTGTGTAGATCAAACCATAAGAGCACAAAATATGTAAGACCTGGCAAAAATGGCACATAATTGAAGCACAATTTCAATTTTACATCGAGAGTAGGTGAGGTTCTTGAGTAAATCAAAAATCATAAAAGATAAAAAGTCGACATCTGGAAAAAATGAACTGCACTATTCGCATACCCTTGTGGCACATCCTCCATCAGCAACATTTGCAAGTAACTTCAGTTCAGATAAATTGGTATGCGTTCAAATGGGAATGGCCGCAGCACTAATCGCCATTATCGATAATCAGAAATGCCGTGGAACAGTTCCGATCAACTGTGGAATTCAATTATTCAATCAGCGCCCTCACAAAGTTTCATTAGTGTTCCGCATTTCAATACACAACTACTGCGTACTACGTACCGCTAGAGCAATTTACTATTACAGCCATTGGAAACATTTAGATTGTAGCTAATGTGCAAGCTCAGGATGTCCTTCTGCAAATCAATTGACAGATCGGCACGCCATCGCAGAAGGGTTTTTCCTGCAAAATCCCCCTATAGTGTGACCATTAAAGGGATAACATTATCATAATATTTAAATGGGGGGTATTTACGCTTTTGAATAAATTTTCACAACGGCTTATCTAGATTTCCGTCACGTATGTTAATCTAGCTCACAAAACGGGGACGGCAGCAGACGAAAAAAGTTCAGAGGTAGCTTGTCTTCGATGGCCTCATTTTTAATTTCAAATTCGCAAGTTCGCGTGATCCAATATTCGGCGGCCCGATTTCTCGTATCGATTATACAAGCATTTTGATTGCCTTCGCAACGAAACGGGCAATTAATATTTCAAAAGCTACCGCAAAATATAATTATTAAGTTTACACTGAAAAAGCTTCGTACAATGGAGGTAGCGTTTTCGTTAGCATTTATTATGAACTTGTCTAAAAGCGGTCGGATGTACTACGCATATTAAATAAAAAACGATCTTTCATAATAAAACGCACGAATTTTGGTCATTTTCATTCAAAAGCTAAAAACAACAACTCCAAATGGGGTACATTCACCTGAGCTTTGTCTATAAATATAGAAGTTGGCGTGTTTGAGATGCATTTGTCATCGTTTGGAATCGGCAATTATTTGAACGAACCTTACTATCGATCAGTAAATTACAAGAAATAAACGTAAATATGTAGTTTAAATACACTAATTATCTTTTACAGGTAGTGAAGTCGTCGAAGATGCATTATTCCGCCGCTGTGGGGGTGTGATCCAACCCAGAGATTGAGCCCCGATTACGCCAGAACTAAATTTGTAAGTATACACACTCTATTTTTCCATTGAATTTATGATTTTCTTTTTTATCACCATCGAGCAGAAAACGCCGCGATAGACGGTGGACATTCCAATAACTTTCCCACTTGGGCTTTTATTGACACGAGCGGATACAATTTCTCTGAGGCAATATTGCGTATTTCAAATGACAGTAGGTAAAAGAAAGCAAAGGTCTTCGAATCATTCACCAGTAACAATTGAAACCTAAATTACCTACGCTGGTTATATCCACTCCCTTTGTTCGTATAATTTCCATTGCGTTCATGTTATTTTTGTGCAAATATTTGTTGTGCTTTCCGCCGTTTCGAGTTTTATTTTATGCATGTATACGGGCAGTTATTAAATCCACCCATTGTATTGCCCGAAAATTTGTCTAATACGAGGCGAATCTCTTTAACAAAGGCAACGTTCGAATTTTCCGTGACGATAACTTAGCGAGTAATCTCCACTGTTTAAAAGAGAGATTCTGCAGTACTCCACTCTTACAATATTTGACTTTCTAACAATGGGCTTGTTTCACGGATAAAATATATTAGTTCCCTAATTTAGCTTTGAAAAACCTTTTCGTTTAATGGAGACAATGATAAGAATCCAGCAAAATGAGGGAAAAAAGGTATGATATTTACAAAAGAGGGAAAATCTCACATTATATGGGAATGAAACTCGGTCATTGTTCTTCAATTTAATTTCGTTCTGTGTCCTAATCGATTTTTCTGGGATACTCATGAATGAATTTCAGCCCAATTTTGATGTAACGAACACCAAATTGGGGATGAAAAATGAATTTTTGAGTAGTGTTCTCATATGGTTTAGTTATGGGTTACAATTGAATAGTCACGAGGATCCGCGCGATAGAAATCGGCATGTGCATGCATTTAGTGGATACCAACATAACACTTGGAATACGTAAAATATACTTCCACCCAAGTGTTTTCCGCTTGGGAAGCACTTTGCGCACTTCAAATTTGCAGCTCGGCAACCATTTCAAAATGGCAAATAGAACGTAACATTTTCCGGGATATCTTTTAAAATATATCAAAATTCCAATCTTGTATTTTATGCGCTTACTATCACGGTGTATGCGTGAATATTTTCTTACGTTGTTCCTAACATACGCGCGAAGGTGATTCCGAACCTCAAACGGAATCGCCAACTTAACGCACTTGTTGGAAATTAACTATTCCGATGTAGACCAATACAGCAAAGGGAACTATAATAAACAACCTGTATCATACGCAAAAATGGTATCAAATCAGAACCGAAATTCTCCACGATCAAACCATGTTGAAAAAAAGGCTGCCTCTCCTGTATGTAATCCAGAAGTCATTGACGGTCCCGCTACACTCACTACCGAGCATGTTAACAAGGCCATCACAAACGTCCCTGAGAACCTCCCTGGAACCTCTTCCAATGACGGTTTCAAAACTGTTACCTCGCGCCGCAAAAAAATACAAAAACCGATCTTTATTGGTCAAATGGAAAATGACAGTCGAGCGGATGGAAATTGTACTACAACTTTCGAAAGTACCGAACGTCGTCATTGGGTTTACGTTGGTCGAGTAAAGGACGGCACGTCTGCAGAAACCATTGCAGGATTTGTAAAAACAAAATGGAGCTTAAGCGATGTATTATGCACACAATTGGCCTCTAGAGATGGTATTTGTTCTTTTAAAGTTGGTGTTAGAGAGTCGAACTTTCCCGGCTTGCTCGATCCTTCTAAATGGCCAAAAGGTGTCGCTGTACGCGAGTTTGTTTACATCCCGAGAAGTGGCGGTTCTTTCGAAAATCGAATCCGCAGTGAAAATTTTCATCAGGTGGCAGCTCAGAACATGGACACTTAAATTGTGGTAGTGGCGCTATTGAAGTCTTTTATCAGAACGTACGAGGTCTCAGATCCAAGAGACGTTTTTAACAACTCTCTAATAATCCAATGTCAAGTCATTGCTCTTACTGAGACATGGCTCATTCCTGAAATTTCAACCGCTGAGATATTTGATCAAAAGTCATTCACTGTATATCGAAATGACAGATCCAACAGAACCAGCTCAAAAAGTCGCGGAGGGGGTGTTCTGCTCGCTATCAAAGCGCCGCTAAAATCACTTCCCCTAATTGCGCAAGCGAATCCTCCGATTGAAGAGATATGGGCTATGGTTACTTTGGTTAACAATAAGCGAATAATTTTGTGTTGCATCTACCTTCCACCGAATTCGGATGTTGAGTCGTACTGTTCACATCTAGAGTCTGTGAATCACATACATTCACGTTATCCTAGCGCAGACATAATACTCTTGGGTGATTATAATTTGAGCAATGTAAAGTGGAGCATCGACCCCGACAGCAACCATTTATCAGCCTTCTGTAACCGTAACAGAACAGCCGAAATCTTATGCCAGAATTTACATGTAATTGGGTTCAATCAGTACAACAACATCAGGAACAGTGCCCGTAGCAATAATATTCTGGATTTGATCTTCTCCAACTGTGATCTATCAGTAAAAAAATGTGATACGTGTTTAGTCAGCTGTGATTCTTACCACCCAGCCCTTACTGTTATCATACCCGTGCACTCACATTTCATAAATGAAAGTAAAAATCGGGCTGTGTATAAATATAATTTTTCAAATGCACCTTACGATTTAATAAATGATCAGATCAGGACTGTAAACTGGCACACCCTTTTTTCTAACTGTGATATTGAGTCATGTGTTGATAGATTCTATTCTGTGATATATAATATAATCGAAGCATCCGTTCTAAAAATTAAGTGTTATGATTCTACATACCCTCCTTGGTTCAGCAGTAGACTTCAGATGATGATTAAATCTAAAAAGTTAGCACACAAACGTTTCAAAGAAACTAAATCCATGAGTGATTATACACCATTTTTTCGAATCTCCGTGAGCAGTGTAAAGCTATGATCTCCGAGTGTCACGATCGTTTCGTGAAATCGTGCGAAGATAACATCACTTCAAATCCACGAAACTTCTGGAGGTTCTACCACAACATCAACAAAACATCACAACTGCCATCTACCATGTGTATAGGTGAGACTCTCATTACTGACAACGAAGCCATTGCCAACGGTTTTGCTGATCATTTTGCCTCTGCTTTTACGGACGGAACACTCAAGGAAAACTCCTTCTCTTCCACAACTGAGGTAACACTGAATTGTTTCACAATTTCTGCTGAACAGATTTTCAACCATCTCATACGTACCAAAGAGAACGGGAGTGTCGGCCCTGACGGAATAGCTCCTAGATTTTTAAAATGTTGTGCCGAATCTATCTATTTACCCATGTTTCTGTTGTTCTCGTCTATTTTAAAAAGTGGATGTGTTCCTTCAGTGTGGAAAAATTCTCGGATAGTTCCAATACATAAAAGTGGTGCTAAGAATGAAATCTCTAATTATAGACCTATAGCAATTCTCTCTGCTATTCCGAAATTATTGGAGGCGATTCTTGCTCCTCAATTAACGGATGCTTTTTCGACTATAATTACTCAATACCAACACGGATTTAGCAAAGGCAGATCAGCTGAAACCAACTTGTTCGGCTACACCAATGACATTTTCGTCTCACTGGACCGTGGACTTGATGTTCACGCGGTTTACACGGACTTCGCTAAGGCCTTCGATAAAGTTAACCACGACTTATTAATATTTAAGCTAAAAAAATATGGTGTTAGCGGAACTGCTTTGATTCTGCTCCAGAACTACTTATGCAATCGGAAAGCACAGGTGAAGATAAGTGATAAGTGGTCCAATCCAATTGAAGTGAGTTCGGGTGTTCCTCAAGGATCCCATCTTGGTCCAGTACTATTTTTGATTTTTATAAACGATATATCATCGGTGTTTGTGTCTAAACATGTCTTATTTGCGGACGATCTGAAGATATATAGACCTATTGCAGACCTTCGAGACATGAGTTTGCTACAATCTGATTTAGTGCGACTTGAAAAGTGGGTGGTTGAAAATGACATGAAATTAAATGTTGAAAAGTGTCACGTGATCTGTTTTTCCAGAAGGAACTCTCCATCTTTGCAAAGTTACTATCTGTACGGTCAGCTGATTGATTGCGTGGATTCTGTTCGTGATTTAGGTGTGATCTTGGATTCCAAGCTTACATTTCGATTGCATTATGATCACATTGTATCTAAAACTACCAAAATGATTGGGTTTATCAACAGGCAATGCAAAAGTTTTTCTAATCCATGCATATTACGCACCCTATACTACTCATTAGTTCGATCGAATCTTGATTATTGCTGTATAATATGGTCTCCCTATCTTACCACACATATCGATAGATTGGAAAGAGTGCAATCCTATTTTCTTCGATTGTTAAAATATAAGCTCTCTTTGGCAGGAATCGTGTTTGAAAGAACCAATGACGTAAAACTATATCTCAATATCATGCGGTTAGAAAATCGAAGGACACTACTTACCCTGCAGTTCGGCTTTAAGTTATTAAACGGCCACATAAACTGTCATACTATCTTGTCTGACATTTACTTTAATGTTCCACAAAGATTCGTTCGATCTTCGAGGCTTCTTTACATGAGACCAAATCGAACTCTTTACCTTCGTAACAGTCCTCGAAATCGATTGTTGGAGTTATTGAACAATTTTAATGATAAAATCGATTTATTTAGTGTATCTCTCCCGATTTTCAAACGCAATACTATAATACTTTTAACAGAATGACGTTGCGTGTTATCATATCAATATTTAAATTTAATTATTTCGTGTTATCTACTTAGGTACACGTAGTTGTTAGCTACGATTATTTATTATTATAGTATATTATATTGTAAATTGCCCTAGGCGTAAATAAACATTATTATTATTATTATAATACAATTAATGTGCTCGCACACTTTAATCTTCGTAATAGTATATTAAGAAACAAGTGTATAATCAAGTTTTTTAAGGACGCGCAACGAGTTTAAGGGCACGACGCGGATGCCTTTAAACGTTGCAA